CGGTATTGTGCGGGCAGCGTGGTACGGGGGAGCAAGCGGAGAATGGTCGGGGTCACAAGCCAGGTTCAGCAGGTAGCGGGCAGCCAGGTGCAGGAGGTCAGGCAGAAGGATGGTCAGGGACGAGCCGGGGTCAGAGCAGGAGAAGGTCAGCATAAACAGGACAGGCAGAGTTTGGCAACAAGAAGCGTACTTACAGAAACAGGAACGAGACCTTGCGGCAACTTGGAGATGCACAGGCAGCTTTAAATAGGGCGCCCTGCTCTCCCATTGGTGCGGCCGCGATCGCTACTGCGCATGCGCGGCCGCCGCGATTGCCGAGGATTCTGCGCTCGCCGGCTGGGACGGATCGGCGGTCTGCGCATGCGCGCGCCGCCGAGGACCCGGGATCCCTGACAGCCTCCCATAGCTGCTGCCAGGCCCCTAATCTGCCATGGGCCCCTATACCGCCTCCTCATGCTGCTGCCAAGTCCAGAGTCTCTCATGGGTCCCTGTACGGCCTCCCATTGCTGCTGTCTCCATCGCCACACTCTGCCATGTGCCACTTTCAGGTCTCCTCACACACTGCTGGTGTGTTCAATTTTTTGACATAGGGTGCTGGCAGATTACGGGCCTCCTATAGCTGCTGCCAGGCCCCTAATCTGCCATGGGCCCCTGTACCGCCTCCTCATGCTGCTGCCAGGTCCACAGTGTCTCATGCCATGTGCCACTTTCAGGTCTCCTCACACTGCTGGTGTGTTGAATTTTTTGACATAGGGTGCTGGCAGATTACGGGCCTCCCATAGCTGCTGCCAGGCCCCTAATCTGCCATGGGCCCCTATACCGCCTCCTCATGCTGCTGCCAAGTCCAGAGTCTCTCATGGGTCCCTGTACGGCCTCCCATTGCTGCTGTCTCCATCGCCACACTCTGCCATGTGCCACTTTCAGGTCTCCTCACACACTGCTGGTGTGTTCAATTTTTTGACATAGGGTGCTGGCAGATTACGAGCCTCCCATAGCTGCTGCCAGGCCCCTAATCTGCCATAGGCCCCTATATACCGCCTCCTCATGCTGCTGCCAGGTCCAGAGTCTCTCATGGGTCCCTGTACGGCCTCCCATTGCTGCTGTCTCCATCGCCACACTCTGCCATGTGCCACTTTCAGGTCTCCTCACACACTGCTGGTGTGTTGAATTTTTTGACATAGGGTGCTGGCAGATTACGTGCCTCCCATTGCTGCTGCCAGGCCCGTAATCTGCCATGGGCCCCCGTACCGACTCCTCATGCTGTGACGTTGCAACAAGGTGGAATTCAACCCTACATATGTTAGACCGCCTTTACGAACAGCAAAAGGCCATCACAGATTTCCTGATGTTAAAAGCGGATAAAGGTACTCCCTATGTAACTTAGATGTCAGCCATTGGCAGCTCATGCGTAACACCTGCACTTGCTCAGGCCCTTTGAGGAGGCCACGCTATTCGTGAGTCGGCAGGACTATGGGATGAATGACGTCATTCCTCTGTTGCACGTCCTGGAACAAATGCTGTTAACAATGGCTGGTCAGGGTGCGGTAGACGTGGCGCACAGATCTCAACGCCACATGACCCCTGTGGGGGCAGGACAGGAAGAAGAGGAGGAGGTAGAGGAGGACATTGGTGCTCAGGAATTATTGAGTGAAATGGGTGGTTTTTTCCACTCAGCGGACAGGTGTGGAGGAGCAGGAGCATCTGGTAGAGGAGGAGGAAGAGGAGACAGAGGACCCAGACGCACCGTGGCAGTATGCTGTGGAGATGGAGGCAGGGAGTCCCTCGCATTCCTTGGCACAAATGGCCCATAGCATGCTCGCTTGCTTGCGTAGCGACAGCCGAATAATAACCATCAGACAGAGGGATGACTTTTGGCTGTCCACCTTGTTGGACCCTCGCTACCGTTCAAAAATGGTGGCCTTTTTCACACCTGCTGAGAGGGAGGCCAAAATAACGTACTATAAAAACCACCTATGTAGTCAGCTGGTCTCTGCCTGTCTGCGCCAACGTCCATCCTCAGACACTGTGGGCCCTGTGCGCTCGCGTTCCGCTGCCATGGCAGCAGGGGAGGAGTGGGGTGGTAGGAGCAGTGGCAGCTCCACCAGCAGCAGCTGCCTCAGTCTGCAGTCGATGATGAGTAGCTTTCTTCATCAGCGCAGTGAGGAAACTACTAACCAGCCGCAGCAGCAGCAGCAGCATCAGGTGGACCTGGAGCAGGACCTCAAACAACAGGCTTAGGCCTACTTGGACAGCGCCCTGCCAACCGAGGTAGACAATCCCCTTGACTACTGGGCAACGAAACTTGACCTTTGGCCCCAACTAGCTGAATTTGCCCTTGAAAGGCTGTCATGCCCGGCCAGTAGCGTGGCATCGGAGCGCGTGTTTAGTGCGGCAGGAGGTATTGCAACTCCGTGGAGGACACGACTGTCCACCCAAAGTGTGGAGAGACTCACGTTTGTGAAAATGAATCAGGCGTGGATTAGTCTGGATTTCAAACCACCAGTTCCTGACACAACTGACTAAATCCGCCATGAATCATGCCCCAAACATGTGCCACTTTCAGGTCTCCTCACACTGCTGGTGTGTTCCATTTTTTGTCATAGGGTGCTGGCAGATTACGGGCCTCCCATAGCTGCTGCCAGGCCCCTAATCTGCCATGGGCCCCTATACTGCCTCCTCATGCTGCTGCCAAGTCCAGAGTCTCTCATGGGTCCCTGTACGGCCTCCCATTGCTGCTGTCTCCATCGCCACACTCTGCCATGTGCCACTTTCAGGTCTCCTCACACTGCTGGTGTGTTCCATTTTTTGTCATAGGGTGCTGGCAGATTACGGGCCTCCCATAGCTGCTGCCAGGCCCCTAATCTGCCATGGGCCCCTATACCGCCTCCTCATGCTGCTGCCAGGTCCAGAGTCTCTCATGGGTCCCTGTACGGCCTCCCATTGCTGCTGTCTCCATCGCCACACTCTGCCATGTGCCACTTTCAGGTCTCCTCACACTGCTGGTGGGTTCCATTTTTTGTCATAGGGTGCTGGCAGATTACGGGCCTCCCATAGCTGCTGCCAGGCCCCTAATCTGCCATGGGCCCCCGTACCGACTCCTCATGCTGCTGCCAGGCCCGTAATCTGTCATGGGCCCCTGTTGTCGTCGCTTGTTGGCATATTCCGCTCGTTCAGATGCTCCTTCTCCTGCTACTCCTCTTCACGGATTCCGTCAGCAGTCTTTCTTGGAATCCGTTTCCAAGAGACAACAGTTTGCGAGCACGCACCCGACGGTGCAGAAGCTGAACGTCCTCCTGTCCAAGTTGCTGCTGCCAGGCTCGTAATCTGTCATGCGCCCCTGTACCGCCTCCTCATGCTGCTGCCAGGTCCAGAGTGTGTCATGGGCCCCCGTACCGACTCCTCATGCTGCTGCCAGGCCCGTAATCTGTCATGGGCCCCTGTACCGCCTCCCCATGCTGCTGCCAGGTCCAGAGTGTGTCATGGATCCCTGTACGGCCTCCCATTGCTGCTGCCAGGCCCGTAATCTGCCATGGGCCCCCGTACCGACTCCTCATGCTGCTGCCAGGCCCGTAATCTGTCATGGGCCCCTGTACCGCCTCCTCATGCTGCTGCCAGGTCCAGAGTGTGTCATGGGTCCCTGTACGGCCTCCCATTGCTGCTGTCTCTATCGCCACACTCTGCCATGTGCCACTTTCAGGTCTCCTCACACTGCTGGTGGTTTCCATTTTTGTCATAGGGTGCTGTATGGCCTCCCATTGCTGCTGCCTCCACCGCCACACTGTGGCTCCACACTCTGGTTTTGGCCCCGTGACTGCCCAAATGAGTGAAGTGTGCGGTGATTCTAAGATCGACGGCACTCATCTGCATGTCATACTGACTGACAGTATTATTTCTCTTCCCCAGCAGACTCCAAGGGCATTTAAATTAAAGGTACAGTGTTCTGCACTAATATTAAGTCTCTCCGAAGCCTAGAAACACCCTTTTTTAAGTTAAATTCACAGCGAATATATTCGACTCGAAACGAAATTTTTCCACGAATTCGCCGAATCAGTCGAATCGAATTTTTGAATACTTCGCTCATCTCTAATGATGACCATACACCGTGGAAAAGGGCAACTCACCAGTACTAGTATTAGCGTGGGTTTTGAGGGCAAACTCAGTCCAGGGTAGAAAGTCTACCTAATCATGCTGATGGGCAGAAATTAAAACAAGATACAGTTCAATATTCTGGTTGACCCTTCTAGCTTGCACATTAGACTGCAAGTGAAAGCCCGAGGAGAAGTCCAACTTGATTCCTAAGGATGTGGGACGTTTGTTTGGTATTCAAATGTCGGGTGGGTTGCAGGTACTGGAGGTTCTTGAGATCGACATAAATCAGGATGCCATGTGGCTATCCCTCCAGTAGATGCCTTCATTCTTGCAGCACCAGCTTAATAACCAGAAGTTCCCAATCCCCGATGGTGTAATTTCATTCAGCATCTGAAAACTTCTTAGGAATTAAAGTAATCTTGATGTTAGGTTTCAGTGATAGTGAACGTTTGTAGATCACCATATCGGGGTTCCCCAGGGTGGGGAGTCTAAGCCCCAGCCTGCTGCATCACCAGGGCCCCTTATAGTGGGGATGGACTTGCAGCAACGTAGAGCCAGGTCTCAGCCCTCAGGTACACACAGCTGAAAATGCGGAGACTGCTCGCATGTGCAGAATACAAATGGCAGGAGACAGAAGGAAGTCTAGGAAACAAGCCAAGGTCAGGGAGGGTTGCAGGAAAGCTCAAACAGTAGACAAAGCTGTAAGACAAAAATGTAATAGTAGGCAAAACAGAAGCTCAGAGAACTAGGAAGTTGCTCAGGCAACGCAGGCTGCACTGAGCATGTATTTTATATAGGGAAGCAAACTGGAAGGCAGGCTAGGAAGTATTATAAGGGAAAGGAATTATAAGCTCACAGAATAGCAGGTAATGCCCATAGGTAAGCACAGAAGCCAAACAACACATTTGAATGTAATCACAGGTCTAGGAGAACTACTGCAGCACGGAATAAATATTTCACAGGCAGAAAAACTGCAGGCTAAATCATGACAATTGATTTGATCTTGAAAGCAAATTACAATTAAGCTTTCTTAAATTGTTTGAAAACAATAGACAACATTAATCAAGCGAAAGAAACAAAAACTTTATATTAAAGATTCTATAGAGAAAATACTGTATTAATGTAATGTACCCAATAACAGCTTAAAATACATAAACCATAGACATCAATTCCTATTAGGTTATCTCTTAAAAACTCATCTTCTTTCAGATGTCAGTTTGTAAGAGAAAAAAAATTTGGTTCATCCTATGTACGTGTAATGTACAGCAGTGATGGTCATCTTCCATCTAGGCACCAACGTGCACACTACTTAGTTCAATGTTATCCCACTAGAAGGTGTACACAACAAACCTCCAGAAACCAGCAAAGCGGGCCCCCAAGGTTTTCACTGCTTAGGGGCCTCCACAGAGTTTATTCCAGCACTGGGATGGAGCTGAACAGAAGTTTTTTTTACCTTAATGCAGGGAATGCATTATGGTAAAAAAAACCTTCTGCATTTACATCCATATTAATACTAAGGTACTACATTATTTTGTGAGCTTTCTTCTATAAATACATTTAGACTGTAATATTTGAGAATAGCTGTTTAAATAGCTGTTGGAGGTTCTGTTCAAAATGTGGCCTAGTACAAATGATTCAATTTTGTGTATGTACTGTGCATGAGGCAAAGGTTATCTACACAGAGAAAATAGATTGAGAAGGTCTTGCATATGCAAATGAAAAAAATGTGCCTAAGCCATATACTTGATTGACTTGGAAGTATTCAGATTCCCATTGACTTCTAGGTTTTGAATTACTTTGTAAAAGGCAGTGCAAACTGTTGGAATTATATAAATCTTGTATAATAATATTGGAAGGTGGAGGCCCTAGTCTACATAGGGTCTAGTACAAATGATATTTGGGAGGATTTTTTGTGTGAATATATAGCCCTCTAATGTTTATGTCTTCAGAAGAAAATAGCTGGTGGGGGACCTTTACAAAACTGGGCCTAGTACAAGCAATTTAATAGTTCAATAGGTACTACAACAACAGTTTGGGAGACTTTTTGTCTAGTGAAAATTGTACACTCTCTAATTTTGTTGTCTTGATTAAAAGCTGGTTGTGTCTCGTTCAAAATGAGACCTTGTGAATGTATTTTAATACAATCCTTTGAGTCACAAAAATAGTTTGTAAGTTTTTTCATTTAAATAAATACACTCTGCTGGTGAATTTTGGCTTAAAATCTGGTTGATGTTTCCCTGGTAAAAATTTGGCCTAGTAAAAGTGCTTTAACACTGTACATGGAGTCATTACAATATGTATGCCTTTTTTCTGTGAAATAATACACTATAAATATGATTAATTGCTGTATTATTATAACTTATCTGGTCCCTCTTTCTCACACCATGGCCTAAAAAAGCTGCTTATTTTATCAGAATTGAGTCTGTAATATGTTTTCTTTTCTGTGAAACAATACACTCAAATTTAGATTTTTTTGATGAACACCTGACTGGTCCGCATCTCCTAAAGGCCTGCTCACACCACAAAAAAAATGGCATGTAATACTTTTATCTATTTGATGCAATAGATAGAAACAGATAGAAATTAATGTAATATAGTTTTACTAAAAATTGTGCAATACTGTGTATCATGGTGCATTGCAACGCATGTTTGTTGGAGCTGTGTTGTCTTAGTGTGTTGGATTGCTCAGTAGTTTTACCAACCTACAGCTACATTAAGGGGGTTATTTACTAAATCCTTCCAGCTACATACAAGGACATTAAGGGGGTTATTTACTAAATCTAGTGCAGCTCTGTTTAGCTGCAGCTTCTAGGTTTATTGCCAAAGCTTAATTGAACAAGCTGAAGTTAGAAGCTGATTGGCTACCATGCACAGTGACACCAAATTCTGAGAGAGCTTGATGTGGTACCCTTGAAATGAATGAAACTGTAATGCAAACACAGGTGATGTATTGCAACACAAAAGTGTGTTTCAACAAACCCAGGACCCCTACATTCACTTTATCTGGTTTCCCACAGTACACAGAACATGGAAATGCAATTATTTTAGTAAATATAAACTGTTAAATACTTTTTCTGATCAGAAGTTAGAGCAGTCTTGTGACTTCTTTCAGTGTCCAGCCGAGCACTGGGTAAAGTTTGTAGGAGTTTTCTTTCTGCTCTAGGAGGATGCAAAATCCCTGACCTCTGTCTGGACAGTGCTGATTGGCCCTGTGCTGACCACACCCTCTCTAGCAATACACATTAAACTGAGCATGTGTAGTGTGTCTTCACAGGATATGTCTTATCAGGAGATAAGAGGGGGGCACTGGAAGAATGGGAAGATCAGAGAAGTCAGGATCAAACAGCAATTTTAAACAATGCAGAGGATTATCCCCTTAGGTTCCACAGTTAGTATAACAAATATGCTTTACTGCATATACAGACTGATTTTACTGTTGTGGGTTTAGTAACACTTTAATGTCCTTGTGGCAACAATAGTTCAAACTACTTAGCAATCAAAAAGGTCAAGTTGCTAGTCAAATCCAGCATTAGGAGAGTTTGTATTTAGGATTTGGGGATTGCAGTCCATTTCTGTGAAGCTTAACAAAGCATATGTTAACTAAAATGTTTTGCATTAAAAATATATGTCCACATTGAGATGTTAATCGTATAAAGTTGCTCAGGAGCAGAACACTGTGGTGGATTACAATCCTACATGTTGTGGAATGAAAGAGTATAAATACAGATTATGATTTTTGTTATATTATTAGTTTATGAGAGTACATGTATAAATTAATTTTTATTTATTATAAAGATTGCCTTTTACTTCAAGTGTTTTTATGGCTTATTCTATGTTTTATTTGCAGCTAATTACACATTGTCATTTGTCAGATATAATACTGTTTTTTTTTTACTTCCATGAATGATGAAAGACATTTCTAGTGCCTACTATTTGTTAAATCATGAGGCTGTCCTTATATTTCACATTTGCAGCATAAATATTACGTCATTATGTTTTCATGGATAGAATCAGACTTGGATAATGAAAATGTATTATCAATTAAACATACGTTACATGACAATATTTTTCAGTTCATGCAGATATATGCAGGGTTGCCTCTCCATCCTTTGAGCCTGTATGCATACAACCTTTTGTAATATATATATATATATATATATATATATATATATATATATATATATATATATATATATATATATATATATATATATATTCTTCTTTTACTGATATTTGACAAATTACACTGTTCAACAGGTAAAACGTTTTGGGCATAAAATTAGCTAATATTACATAATTTTGGGGTGCTGAAAACGAAAATGACCCTAAAAAATGTTGATTGGCTCTAGTTTCCATGATATATTCACCCATCTAATGACGTAAGCCATTCAAAATTATGATGCAACTTCAGCTGCATATTGCGCAATTGATACTGGTGACCAATAGAAAATTGCATGTATACTGAGATGATGCAATATTAGCCTTTAATTGCATCACTTCACTGCATAAAAGCTGCAGTATCTGTAGCTGATTGTAGTTCGACAGCGTCTTTACATTTCGTTTTATGCTTATATAGGCTACTCAGTAATGCCTCGAACTTGTGTGAATAAAGCAGATAATTTCTGCTATATCTGCGGTGAAATAACTTTTATCTCACAAAAAAGGAGGATAACAGGAATGATTAAGAAAGCCTACAACTTGTATTTTGGCTGCAAGATAGGAGACCAGGACAAGAGCTGGGCACCACATATATGCTGCAATTCTTGTGGGACGGCACTGGAGCAATGGTTGAATGGAAAAAAGGCATCTATGCCTTTCGCTGTGCCAATGATTTGAAGAGAGCCAACAGATCATGTTAGTAATTG